AGGGTGCCGATCATGATGTTTGTTGTTGTTGTTCTTGGCCGTGTTTGTAAACAGCAGTCGAGCTCCCAATACCAGTGTCGCAGGCTGCTTCTCCCTGGTCTTGTGGGATTTTGTAAGTTTAATTCCCATTTCGGTAAAACCAAGCGTCGGTCGGGTATGTGTCCACACTGCTCAGCTCTGGTCTTTCTTTTGATGGTGTCCAGGCCACAGCCGCAAACCAAAAGTCCACTTCCCATGGCCGTGCGATCCCGGCACCACATTTGGGTATATTATGCCAAATCGGGAGACCCCCAAAAATCATGTATTTTTCTCTTGGATTCCTTCAAACCAAGATGAACAGCTCCTCAAGAGCTGCACTCAACTCAGGTATGGGCTCGCCGTGCACGACGCGGCAGCCAGAACTGGCGCCGATGGCTGGGTCGGGCGCCCTGCAAAAGCCAGAGAGTGACTCCAGTTGCTATTTTTACTCAGGGAAACCAGCTAGCAGGGATACAGGGGGAACCAGGGATACGGGATGATGCCCCCTACTAAATGCACCTTGACGAAGTTGGGAAATGGCACCAAGGGAATCCCCCCATATCCCCGCTCCCTCCGTATCCGCGCTTGTTCGTTTGTCCAATTTACTTCAGGCTATTTTAGGGGACCGTACTCATCCCAGGACTCCCCCTGCAATGAAGTGATTCCAGACTGCAAGGGAACCATCCCCGACAAATATATGGTCCTCGCCTGCGGCTTTAATCTGATGGTTGACAGTACTTGATAGAAACCGAGGGGCCCGCCATGGAAAAGTAGCTGGGGATTCTTCGGTCGGCTTCTATGAGTGGGACAACCGGGTGGCCAAGCCTCCGAGTTTTCGTCTTTGCCGTTTTGCCGAGGTGGTGCCTGTAAGAGCGTGGCCGAGCTGCCTTGCTTGTCTTCACTGGCTCTGGACTTGGGTGAAACAGGGGTCCGGTCCTTACCACTTGGCTTGCTTGGATCAAACATCCTGAAGCACCTTGCTGCGTTGAAGCCCAAACTGTGGAACGAGCTTTGAGGGCAGCTGGCACAGTGTATGCTTCTCGGATTGACAACGGGTAGCAGCATGCCAGTGTTGCGCTGAACAGAGGCAGCTGGGCTGCATTTGACTCATGGGAATAAGCTGGCACATTGGCTGCCAGGATCTATCGAAGAAACGAGCAGCGCCATCGCATTCGCATGACGCTGGCGCGAAAGATCATGGTGAGCGCCTCAAGTGTGCGGTAATTACTCTCAGGCGACATTACATCACAACATAAGAGAGGGGTGTGTAATCATGTAGCCACCTGGATTACTAGATTACTGGCTAACGCCCAATGCGACGCATGGAAAGTGACAAAGCTTGAGGGTGAAGCGAAAGGCCATTTGGGATTTCAAGCGACGATCTCAGACGATCCCTTCCCAGGGTTTGATCAAACGAGCTCCCTAGTGATGGCTTACTGTGTGCAATGATCCCATGAGGGCCCGGGTTTTGCACTTTTCGATAAGCATGGACAGGACCTTCCGTAGACTTACCAGAAGTCTTGGATCGGAAAGCAAGGTTACAGCGCCAGGCAGGATAGCCCTTGTACAAGCTTCCAGTATGCAAGCATGCTGGGTCGTGCAGTCATTTGTTCTGGGGTCTCCTCCAAAATGACGTTATATTTGAGGGTAGACTAAACATGGCTCAGATCTGTATATATGTATGTATAACATGATATAATATGATTTTCATATCCCAGGTTTGCGCCAAGTCTGGGTCTGCCTGTTAGATGGAGATGATCCACGGCATCAAGAACGTTAGCAAGGAAGGATTGAGGCGATATGAGGCGCGGCTTCCAGAGCACACGCCTCCAATGGGTCTTTGCTCAAATCGATGAATCCGCAAGGAGCATTTACCTTCTTGTTTCACACATTCCCAGATGGAACAGGTGCTTTGTGGTCCTCTTGTGTTGTGAGCATGGGGCCTTGACATGTTGTTGTTTCTTCGACACCAGAACTCAAAGGAATGGCCGACCCAACTTGTTGCCCAACTTTGCCTTTGTTTGCATTGTGCGTGGATCTCACGGTTGCCCGCATTGGTGGGGCTGAATGTCGAGCAACCTTCGGGTTCCTGACTGTTACAAGTGACCACAAACAATCGCTCAATGTGCATACAGTCTGCCTGCCGACTCATCTGTTGTGGCACGTACAAAGGCTCTACTGCCAATTGTGTGAAAAGGGACAACATGCAACAGCATGCTGCCAGTTTGAATGCTTGAACTATGCGTTGTCATGTTCATATCCCCGGTCACCATGGTATTGTTTGGGCGCCGCGCCACGTCTCCCTGTGGGCCCGGGCGGGGAAAATGATGCTATTGTTTGTGGGTGATATGTTAGGGCGTTTGGGATTTCCTAATTACCTGGAACCAGGGCCAAACCCTACTGGGCACAAACGGACAACGGACTCAATGGACTTAATAGACTTCATAGATCTCAAGTGTGGGCTTTCCCTGAAGTTTCCCTATAATCAACAAGCAACACATACCGCTTTTTGGCCACAGCCGCTACATATACATATGTGCATATATATATATATATTTACATATTTACATATATTTGTATATATATATATATGGGTTGGCACTGCACCCGGGATGTGGGCGCGTCAGGAGCGTGGGCGCCTGATCTTCCGCACCTTGGCCTTCCGTGGGGGCGAGCGCAACGTGGGCCTTGCCATCAAGTTCGACGGGGAGGACGGCAGGGGTCGCCAAAGGGAAAAAGCGGCCATGGGGCAAAATTTGCATGGCAAAAATGCCCTAGCTATTGCAAGTAAACCACAAACCATGGTCGAATTTTCAGGGTTTCCCTTGTTTCCTTACAATATTTCGGGTATATATGGGTCAAAATCAAAGCAGGACCGCAGGTTCTAGTCCTTGGTTCCTAGGGTTCCAAAATGGATACTCAGTTTTGACCGGCCAAATCAAAGGGACGCCTCCCAGTTCTGTATTTGTGTTTGTTGTTGTTTTCTTGTGGGGAAGGGGGGACACCTCCCATGTTTCTTTTTGAGGGGGACGCCTCCCATGTGGTTTCAGTGTTTATTCTTGGGGGAGGAGGGGGGGGAGGAAGTAAAAGGAAAACAACCGAGTTTTTTTGTTGGAAGGAATCGAAAGGCAACCTGTTTGTTTGTGGTGGGTGGGTTTCCTTGCACGTCATCCCATTTCTTGTTGTGGTGGTTCTGCCGAAGAGGACTATGAATTTGACACGTTGATTCAGGTCTGCAAAATCGTGACTACAGATTGATGACAAGCAGTTCGGGTGCACTTTGAGGATGGATTTTGCGTGGCTACTGAAAGATTCCAAAGGGAAGCAGTTGCTAAGCGAGTTGAAGTGTTGGAAGCGCAGCTGTGAGTCATGTTGCGATGAAGGCCTCCTTGTCTTCACGATTTCGTGAAAGGCTCGTGTTTTGGCGAGTTGTCTCTTAACAGTTACTCTTGTAGCTGAGGTGGCATTGCAGAACTTTGAGCTGCAATTGGACCCTGCCCCAACCTCAACACTTCTCTTGTTGGGAATGGCCATTGTGACGGTTTTTGATCCAACATTCCATCCACCTGTTAGTCCTACCACTGCAGGGGCAACACCGCAAGAAGACGGCCAGAATGACGGTTGGCAAGCTGGCTGGAGTGAAAAGCAGCCGAAACAACTTGCATTGACTGCGAATCTGCCAGGACAAGTGGCGAGAAATGCCCCCGACCAACGGGAAAGGCCGAGTTGAGGCGCGGAGCTTCCCGCGGATCATGTTAGTATGCCATGGTTGAACGTATTACTTGGGTTTACCAATAAGAAGATTCATAGGAGAGAGTGGCGAGTGCGTCCAATCTGATGACTTAGCCACAGGCTTGCCAAGAACCTGCACTTGTAATTAGTGGCTGTTTTGCAACTTCTTCAGCTCTGATTGCATGCAGCAACTTGTCCATGGCTCCGACTGTTGAAGGAGCTGGAGACCACTGACTAGGCGAGCAGGCAGCGCCCTTTAGGAATGTAGGATGGTGTCGTTCCCCAAGCAAACCTTACTCATGCCTTACTAAGGTACTAAGGGGATCCATGGCGGGTCCCTTGCGGGGGGGGCCTTGCATTACCATGAAAGATCGTTGTAGGCGGCCAGTCGCATTGTTTGGGGGAACGAGGGGAGTGCCAATCAAGTTCTGTTCTCTTCCACACGCTTTTGTGTATTTTTGCCCGGGCCCCTCACCAAGCAGCAGTAGGATGCTATCCACAGACCGGGTAATTCCTTGAGGTCAGAAAACTTCAAGGGCTTTACTGGCCCCAAAAGATGATCAGTATGTACATCCATGTTGCTTTGCTACATGAGGTCAAAAAAACATGGGTGTTTGGGGAAATTTGGCAGAGCTTCTTGTATTCTTTGCGGACGCCCGGAAGTTGCACCCGGTGCCTTCCAACGAAAGGGGGTTTGGAAGTCAGGATTTGCCCGGTGCACGGCACACTTGTAGGTTACACACAAGTGATTGGAATGAATATTTATATAAGTGTATCTACAGTATATTATATATATATATATATATGTATTCATGTATTTTTGGATAGTCAAGACCATTGGTCTTCCCCATGAATATCTTACATGGTTGGCTTGAAGAATTTCGGCATGCCTTCCATCCAGAGGACAGAACCACAGGGACCTGTGAGAGTTTGATGCTCCATGGAAAGGGAAGAGGGAGGAGTCTGAAATCTGAGCCAGGGGCAATGATGCCCAGGAGTTGGACCACAGCAGACAATCCACTCAAGTTCATTGAACATGTAGAGATAGTGCGTGCACTTGCAGGTTCCCAGTTGTTCAGTGGCAGCCTGGCCCAAGCAACCTACCAGAGGGTGGGCCGTGCAAGCCGATCGCTTAGGGCGCCATGGACACGCGTTTGCAAAGATCTACCGGGTGGGTGCACCATGGTATGGGTCTTGCTTCGAGATGGAGATGCAGGCCCGCACGTCGTGTAGCTGTTCATGGCCTTGGTCTTTCATGAGTTGGCAGATGCAGTTCGCTATACCCTTTTGCGCTTCACTCAGCAGGGAATCACTGGCATCAGTTTTACATTGCGGCGTATATCTCACATCGCGTCATGGTGGGACAACTTGGCAGTGTTGGAGCACACGCGTCCAACACGGGCAGCAGTTCATGGGTACTGCAGCTGACTATGCTTACTTCAGCCCCGCACGTGCCAGTTCCTTTGCGCCCTTCCCCCACATGCCGGGGCGAAAGGTGATCAGGGAGGCGCTGCCAACCAAGAGCACTGGTTTGTGGACCACTTGGAACTGCTCAATTTGCACACGTAGAGCTCTGTGTGTTCCAGAAGCTTGGTGATATGAAGCGCAGGTGCAACTTTTCTTGGAGCAAGGGGTGAGGATGACCGAGGTCATGCGTTGCGTGTTGTACAGACTGGTGTTATGGACTCACTGGGTTACCGGCATTCGTGCCATTTGGCGCGTTCACGGCGAAACGTTTTGTCTGGAACGCGCTGCCTGTGGCGCTCCTGCATTGCTCAACACAGCGCCCTGTGGTACTGCTTCACAGATCTCCGGTTGCCATGCGGCGCCCCAACCACGCAATGTGGTTGGTTGTTGGTCACCTTTAAAGTGCCAACGAGCACCTTGGGTGCGTTCCGCCAAGAGGCTCATTGCCGCCGACCTGTCGGAAAAGCCCGGAAAGGTTGTTCAGTGGCATCTGATGCGTATACAGTGATCAGGGCTGGAACGCACTGCCTTTGGCACCCTCGCAAGGCTTTGCGCAAGTGCTCTGCGGCACTGCTTTGAAAAATCTCCGGTTACCTTCAGGCGCCCCAACCGGTTGGTACTCTGTTCTTGGTCACCTTGGGAGTGCCATGCGTTGACTACAATCATGCGGAGGATGGGTTCCGTTGAGCAACAAGCGGCATCCGGTTTCTCTCTTGTGTTTGGCGGGTCAACCCCAAAAACGCTTCTTTTCTCAACCATTCCGGCACGTTACACCCGGGAGGTGGACGTTCCTTTGCCCGTCCACCTGGTCGACGCTGCTTCTGCGCCGAACCAAGCATATCTCCAGCATACTCGCCGTATACTACATCTGGAAAGTAAAGACATTTGACAAGTGTATGCCAAGGATAATACCGGGGTACCGTGGATTCCTTTAAACATCCTGAAGCCTTGCAAGTAAGCAAGCGCGCGCAGCCGCCATGCCTTGGTAAACCGCGGTATAAGCTACGGGGAAAGTTTCCTTGCCATGTTTAGTTTGCATCTACCCCAGAGAGTTGTTCCCTCAGCAAAGCGGCGGCCCCGATCAAAATTCTAAGCCACGTTTTTGTCAGTGAATGTGTGCAGGCAAGCCGCTGTTGGCGTTTCTTCAAAGAACAGGTTTATGTAGTGGGTTTGTGCATGTTGGTGGTTCTCTTAGTTTACTGCCTCACAAATAAACTTTAGAGCCTCCGGCTCAGTCCGCCGACATTGTCCTCTCCCTTTTCTCCTTCTTCCTCTCTTCCTTGTCTCCCTTGTGTGTTCTGTCGTCCTCTCTCCCTCCCTCTGCTCCCATCCTCCCCATCCCCCCAAGCCTCTCTCTCCCCAATCTCCCTCTCTCGTATGTATGCATGCATGTACATAAGTATGTATGTATGCATGCATGTGTGTATGTATGTATGTATGTATGTATGTATGTATGTATGTATGTAATGTAAGCAAGTAAGTAAGTAAGTACGTAAGTAAGTATGTATGTATGTAATGTAATGTAATGTAATGTAATGTAATGTAATGTAATGTAATGTAATGTAATGTAATGTAATGTAATGTAATGTAATGTAATGTAATGTAATGTAATGTAATGTAATGTAATGTAATGTAATGTAATGTAATGTAATGTAATGTAATGTAATGTAATGTATGTATGTATGTATGTATGTATGTATGTATGTATGTATGTATGTATGTATGTATGTATGTATGTATGTATGTATGTATGTATGTATGTATGTATGTATGTATGTATGTATGTATGTATGTATGTATGTATGTATGTATGTATGTATGTATGTATGTATGTATGTATGTATGTATGTATGTATGTATGTATGTATGTATGTATGTATGTATGTATGTATGTATGTATGTATGTATGTATGTATGTATGTATGTATGTATGTATGTATGTATGTATGTATGTATGTATGTATGTATGTATGTATGTATGTATGTATGTATGTATGTATGTATGTATGTATGTATGTATGTATGTATGTATGTATGTATGTATGTATGTATGTATGTATGTATGTATGTATGTATGTATGTATGTATGTATGTATGTATGTATGTAATGTAATGTATGTATGTAATGTATGTATGTATGTATGTATGTATGTATGTATGTATGTATGTATGTATGTATGTATGTGTATGTATGTATGTATATGTATGTATGTATGTATGTATGTATGTGTATGTATGTATGTATGTAATGTAATGTATGTATGTATGTATGTATGTATGTAATGTAATGTAATGTAATGTAATGTAATGTAATGTAATGTAATGTAATGTAATGTAATGTAATGTATGTATGTAATGTATGTATGTATGTATGTATGTATGTATGTATGTATGTATGTATGTATGTATGTATGTATGTATGTATGTATGTATGTATGTATGTATGTATGTATGTATGTATGTATGTATGTATGTATGTATGTATGTATGTATGTAATGTAATGTAATGTATGTATGTATGTATGTATGTATGTATGTATGTATGTATGTATGTAATGTATGTAATGTATGTATGTAATGTAATGTAATGTATGTATGTAATGTAATGTAATGTAATGTAATGTAATGTATGTATGTATGTAATGTATGTATGTATGTATGTATGTATGTATGTATGTATGTATGTATGTAATGTATGTATGTATGTATGTATGTATGTATGTATGTATGTATGTATGTATGTATGTATGTATGTATGTATGTATGTAATGTATGTAATGTATGTATGTATGTATGTATGTAATGCATGTATGTATGTATGCATGCATGCATTCATGCATGTATGTATGTATTTCCCGCAAAAAAACACGGTTTTTCTAGCGTTTTCGCAAAGAGGACGTCCAAAAACATTGAGTTTTTCCAGATTTTCGGCAAAAGGATGCAGGAAGCCCAAGCCAGCAAAAAAGCCGGCAGGGGGAATCGAGCCTGGGACCCCTGTTTTGCGACACCGGCTCCCCGAAGACTACGTTTAGTGGAACGTCATCAAATTGCCGCGCGGTACGTGGGGGACCCCCCCCCCAAAAAAAAACCTACGTAATAGACGTCGGGCGGGGGGGGGGTTAGGGGGGGGGGTTATCCTCTATCCTCTAGTAAGTATCCGACACGCCGAGCAATGTCGGCGGATACGGCACCCTCCCAAGGGTTCCACCCAAGCCCAGTTTCAATTCAAATGCTGTCTTGGCTGGGTTCCACATGAGTCTGCAGTGTAATTCTCTTCACTTGATTGGTTGTCAAGAGTGCATTGACCATGGGTAGCTTCACGGGTGATGCGCATGCTGGGCACTCTTGCATTGGTTGCGCCGAGACAAAGAACAGCTCGGCAAGGCTTCGAATACAGCGCTTGAATGTAACCACAATAGACATAATAGACGCAGGATGGCAAAGGCTGGATGGTTTTGTGGGAAAGTTGGTGAAGGCTAAAGAAGCTGTCGGATCACCGAGTTTACAGAAACATGGGTATTGGCTGTGCCAGCATTGGCTGGATGGAAGTTCCAGTGTTGGCTGCTGCGTTTCGAAATGTGTCAAAATCACAGTGGGGGGTAGGGGCCAGTAGAATTTATTTGTCCGTGCCCACGAATGTGGTGTATGTGAACTACTTGTGATTGAACTTGAGTTGAAACACTGCGTGATAGCGATGATCAGTTTTCATATGCTCTGCCAAGAACAAGAACATGTTTCCCGCTCAGGAGGGCGGAATTCTGAACTTCACGGTTCTCCTGCCTGAAGACAAGTCGCGGAAGATCGAGGCAGGGCAGCGCATGTTGTTCCTCGTCCCTCGCGACGAGGCCGCTCTCGCGGATAGACAGGCCACTCGCGGGTAGACAGGCAACAAGCATTCCTGGCAGTTATGGTTCATTGGAGGACCTTCACAAGTCCGCGATTTGTTGCCACTCACGGGACACGTCGCTAACGGTGGGCAAGGATGCCATGGTGCCCCTTACCCTGTGTGCCTGTTGCCCTGTGTTCATGTTTGGCTCAGGCATGATCATACCACGGGTAAATGAAATGGGCCACTTGCGTGTCTTTGTGCTCCAAAAGGCCAGTGCCCCTGTCTGCAGTCTTGGGACAGGTTCAGGTTTCTTGGCCTTGGGGTTTTGCCAAGTGCTCATACCGAAATATGGTTTCAAGGCAGGATTTGAGGATCTCTCTGAAACCAGCAAAAGAGGCTCTCCCTATGGCAGGAATCATGGTCAAAGCATGGCTCGAGTACGGCTCGGCCTGAGGCAATCAGTGCTCGAGCTTCTGCGCTGCTCATCCCACCGGAGGGGGTTCTAGTACCTTGACTGCAGGGCCTGGGTTCTGGGTTGGTTCATGCCTGGAGCATTTAGATGCTGTAGTATCTCTGTTGCCCAGTGACGCCCTTTTTCCTTTTTTGGGGAACGGTTGGTCTTTAAAGTCAAACACCCAGAAAAGGGATGCCCTTTTTTCCCATGGCCACTGGGCATCTGTGGTATTCAAAGTAACAACTTGACAACACTGAAGTTTCACAAGATACAAGGGCAACTCGGGGCATGGGTCAGCACTCAGGGTGAGGATGGCTGTGGGTCCCACTCACTAAGCCCCACCGGAATTCAGGTGGCCTGCCCGGAAAGTCATGCCACTGGGCACCAGCTGAATTTCGAGTGGTCAGGTGACGTCATGTGGCTTTGTGTCAGAACAAGCTGGACCCCTTTGGGGAAAACTTGAAAAGGGAACCGACGTGATGGGAGAATTTCTTTATCGACATAGCCATACCCCTTCCTACCCCTTGGGAGTATTCCTATGGGTGTTAAATCCTGCAAGGAAGCAAGGACTCCGCAACTAACCATGCTTTGTGGCTCTGGTTTACTTGCAATAGGGAAAATCAACCGTCCCCCTTTTCTCTGGGACCGGAGGGTCCCCTCTGCAAGAGAGATTGGAATCTTGAGTGTTCCACTAGATCCGCTCGGGTCAGACTCTTCCTGAGGTCGGTGACATCTAAAGGTGACCGGTTTGCTTTTGGTGCCTTCGCTTTTTTTTGCTCGTCGCCCAGGTAATCTCGGACATCGATGACACTGTCAAGGTGACCGAGGTGTTCTTGGGCAAGGAGATGTTGCCCGTTTTCTCAAAAAGCATGGAAGTGGACATTTGGGCCTTGTCAAGAGGATGGTAGCCTTGGCTTTACATTGGGCGGTTCAAAGGAATCATTGATCCTTCCCTTCAATTGCAAAACAGGTCCCCTTTTCCGTGGTTGCCCAATGAATACGAATTGGGATTATGGTCAGCGTTGGGTCAACCCTCCGTTCAAGAAGACAAGTAGATTGATGCAGAGCCTTCATCTTGCAGGACTCTGTCGTGAGGAACACATTCCTGGAGGCAGGCTAGCGCGGTTGCCATGTATGTCTCGTGGAAACAGCGCCAGCCCTACAACTGGTACTAGGGGGCTGTAAATTGTTAAAGTCAACCAGTGGAAAGAATTCATGACAAAATAAACCACCAATAGATCTGTTCCAAGCAAGGAGAGGTCCATCTCTGCGTGAGTGTTTCTACTTTTGACACTACCAACGACCGTTTCAACGGTCGCTGCCTTGTCGAGATTTCATGTGTGACTTACTTGGACGTTCCCCCTGCTTTGTAGCTAGTGAATAGCCATCGTTACAACGGGGGGCAAAGGGCTCTCAGCTCTCTGAGCCATGGATATAGCCCACAACCCACTTTCCAACTGCCTCGCACCTCCCAGTTTGTATGCAGTCCCCGGGTTTTGGCCAGGAGTTTCGCCCCGTCTCGGGCATGGTGAACCTCTACAGGTCATGGGCAGAGGAGCCAGCCAGTGGCTGACCCAACCACTGGGGGATCCAGAAAGAGACTTCTCCAGAGACCCACGCGTAACATGTGGGAGTGTTATCTAGTCGAATTTTGGCCGTGGATCTCTGGTGCGAAGGTGATGATGGAATGGAAGAGTGTCAGATGAGCGTTTCTTCCAAGCTAGGCCCCTTTTTTTTTCGCTGCTGAATGGAAACCCCAAGAGTACCCACGGAAAACCAACCGGGTCCGACCATTTGGGGTCTTTATTTTGGTTGGAAGCCTCAAAAATGGCTGTTGGCTTTCCCCTTGAGCTTTCCTTCAAACCAATCCATTTCAGAATGAGATACCTCAAAACGCATTCCCATTTTGAGACGATGGAGCTTCTCTCAGGAGTTCGGGGCAGCCTTCGCCTTTGTGTCCAACTCGCCGCCGGAACTTCAGGCGACGGCCAAGTTACTCCCCAGGGATGAGAAGGGACCGAGCCCCAAGCAGCGGATATCCATTTTTTCTCGGAGTGTTCATGGGGATCGGACATTTGTTGTTGGGTTTATTTAAAGTGGTTGGTAACCTCGAATGTGACCGACTTGTAAGTTTTCCTAGTGGAAGCCATCCCCTGTCAATTGGTTATAACCCACGATTCCTTGCCTTGACGGTCCCTCATTCAGAACAAATTGAGGGCACTGCTTAGTTGCTTTTGCGCCTCTTGTCGGGTCCAACAGAAGGGTGGGTATTTTGAGGAGTCAGTCGCCATCTACTTGGTAGCCATAGTTGGATGTGGGTGTTACGGACGCTTACAGGGCCTCAATGTCAAGGGACCCCTCTGTTGATCCATTTGGGGGTCGGAGGGGGTTCAGGAGTTCGAATGACCCCATGTGGCTCTCTCAAGATCTCTCCGATGCTAAGTGAGATGAGTGAAGGGGAGAATCCATAGACTCAGGTCAGCCGTAAATACGGATGTTCATATGTCGGCTGGAAATGGCATCAAGTCTCAAGAAAGGGCACTTGCCTCATATATGTGTTGCATTTGCAGCTCGCATGTGTCGTGTTGTGGCTGGCAACATCACTAAGCGCTGACCCTTGGGCCATGGTTTCGCCCATGAATTGTTTGTGTGAGGCTCTTGTGTCCTTAGATCTCTCTTCAGAGCTCCCCACTGTCAGCTAGAACGGGTTTTGCCAGCCCTGTTTTCAATCCCAATGTAAGAAGTGCATTTGCTTATTTTGTTTAAAAGACATGTAACAAAAGGTTCATGAACAAACCACAACAAGGATTGATTGCGGCTAAGTCAACCTCCAGGTCTTGCCCTTTTTGCTTCGCGGCCTTACGGCCGGGGATCCGGTTGGCTTCGTCCGGCGCAAACTGCGTCGAGGAGCCGCTGCGGGAGTTCCTGGTCAACTCAGGCACGGAGATGAGCTCTGCGATTGACGCCTTCGATTCTCCCTGCACCAGATGGGATTGGACGCCATTCTTGGGCACCCTCCGTATGGTAATAAGAATGTTAAGTTTGGGATGTGTAGCTTTCTTGATTGCCAAACGGCGGCCTGGTGGATTGAAATGGTGCCAAACGACCAGCAACCTGTGTTGTCATTGGTCAATGGTGTGTTGGTGTTCCTTTTGGTCTCAACCAGGTTTGAAAGCCATGGTGTTCATGGAAGTGTACAGTACAAACAGTCACTTCAGGGGCAGAGGACCGCTCAAAAAACTTGGAGTGAGCATGCCCCACAGCTGTCATACTTTCCAGTTGAGTCCATAGATATCTCAAGTACCTAGGGAAGAAGGGAATCCTGGTGATTCGCAATTCGTTTGGTTTGCTTGCATCTTTGGGGGAATCGACCATAGCACCACGTGCGAAACGGTTCAAGGGTGTTTGTGCAGTGAATGCCTTCTTGTTGAGCTGGCGGTTGATTGAAGGCAAGAGAAAGGCATGAGGGCACATGAATCCGCAGCCAACGAGAGAAAGGCTTGACGGGTACAAGGAGTCGGGGTGTCGGAACCTATCTCGGGTTCAAGCGCGCATGGGCCGCATGGGATCCATCCGGACGGAGCCACTTGTCGCCAGGCTTTCCGAAGGCTCCGGTTTTCCTGCGGCCCCTGGGTGGATCCAAGGAGCGAGGGCCACATGGGCCTGGCCGCATCCTCATCCCCGGTGCATGTGGGGTGGTAAGGGGTCCTTTCTGGTATACCCCTTCAAGGGCAGTACTTCACAATGAGGCCCTGCTTTGAATTCGCACCCTTTTTGAGGTTCCTTCTGCTGCCCAGGGGCAGTCATTCTCCTGGCAAATGGTCACCTGGGGCTGATTGGCTTGTATTGGACCACGCGCCTTGGGATAAAAGCCGTGTGCCTTGAGTTTCATGGGGATGCGGCTGGGAATCCAGGGCCCAGGGCCATTAGACTTGGAGGTGTCAACCAAAGTTGGGGCCCTGTTTGGGATGGTTTGTGAAGGAAAACGAAGAACCCCGTTGAAGGGGCCCAGTTTTACAACAAACAGGACCTTGAATTGAACTTTTCACGTTCCCAATTTTGGGACGTGCCCGGCTGTTTTTGTCGGGACATAATTCCCCCATTCTCAGGAGGAGCGCGCCAATTTCAAGGAGATGCAAATCTCAGAGCTCCTGCGCCAGTACCCGCGGAAGAAGGCCCAGCATGAACGCGGTTCACTCCAACCCCCCCCCGTTTGTGCCTGCCGCGTCTACCCACACATTGTCATTTAGATGGCTGAGAATCTATGGGCTTCTTTATTTTGACAGCCGACAACACAGGGCGACGCAGCGAGATTTATGACTACTGAGCTTAGTCACGTTTTCGAGGACTGACCGTGTGTTCTGGGCGCTCACATCCTTGTGATCCATGAACATGGGGTATTATAGCAGAATCAGGCCATTCAGCGACATTGCATAAGTCCTGATTTGGAAGCCAGGCACCTGTAGCTCAGTTACTCTAGGTTGTCACCCTTGAGGGTGAGATGGGAAAAATATTCTGTATTGGGACCCATTTTAATAAAAACCAGTTCGAGCCGAGATCAAACCGAAGACCTGAGCAGGTCGTGCTCGTGGGAGATAGCGGCGAGCGAGATCCCATTGTTTGCGCTGAGTTGCTGCGAAGGTGGGATGCTCATACTGACATGGTGCCTTGTTGCTTGTTGTCGTTCAGCGGAACCGCGCCAAAATTAGTTGAGTTGGATATAACAGCCCTTGTAAATGATGTCCGTCAAGGCGTCAAGGGGCCAATTTAGGATTGATACTCACATGCCATCCACATGAAAGCATGCAGTGATTCTGATAATGTATCCTCGTTGGACATGTGTGCTGCTGGTTCGCCCTGACCATCCAATGGAGCGTCGCTACGATATGTTTCATTGTTTTAAGTGTATGCATGGGACCGAGAAGCTGGCTAGTGAAGCAAGATAACCAACAATTCAACATGATTGCACATTATGCAGCACATGAGATGATTTCCTCAAGGGTGCCCTTTGTCAAAGGTGCCCTTTTCTCAAGGGTGCCCTTTGTCAAGGGTGCCCTGTTCTCAAGCGTGCCCTCTGTGAACGTGCCCTTTTCTCAAAGGTGCCCTTTTCTCAAAGGTGCCCTTTTCTCAAAGGTGCCCTTTTCTCAAGGGTGCCCTTTGTCAAAGGTGCCCTTTTCTCAAGGGTGCCCTTTGTCAAAGGTGCCCTTTTCTCAAGGGTGCCCTTCGTCAAGGGTGCCCTGTTCTCAAGCGTGCCCTCTGTGAAAGGTGCCCTTTTCTCAAAGGCGCCCTTTTCTCAAGGGTGCCCTTTGTCAAAGGTGTCCTTTTCTCAAGGGTGCCCTTTGTCAAAGGTGCCCTGTTCTCAAGCGTGCCCTCTGTGAAAGGTGCCCTTTTCTCAAAGGCGCCCTTTTCTCAAGGGTGCCCTTTGTCAAAGGTGTCCTTTTCTCAAGGGTGCCCTTTGTCAAAGGTGCCCTGTTCTCAAGCGTGCCCTCTGTGAAAGGTGCCCTTTTCTCAAAGGCGCCCTTTTCTCAAGGGTGCCCTTTGTCAAAGGTGTCCTTTTCTCAAGGGTGCCCTTTGTCAAAGGTGCCCTGTTCTCAAGCGTGCCCTCTGTGAAAGGTGCCCTTTTCTCAAAGGCGCCCTTTTCTCAAGGGTGCCCTTTGTCAAAGGTGTCCTTTTCTCAAGGGTGCCCTTTGTCAAAGGTGCCCTGTTCTCAAGCGTGCCCTCTGTGAAAGGTGCCCTTTTCTCAAAGGTGCCCATTTCTCAAGGGTGCCCTTTGTCAAAGGTGCAAAGGTGCCCTTTTCTCAAAGGCGCCCTTTTCTCAAGGGTGCCCTTTGTCAAAGGTGCCCTGTTGTCAAGGTGCCCTTTTCGTCAAGGGTGTCCTTGTGTGCAGGAGGCCCTTTCGTCAAGGGGGTCCTTTTGTCCAGGAGACCCTTTCGTCAAGGGTGTCCTTTTGTCCAGAAGGTCCCTTTGTCAAGGGCGCCGTTTCGTCAAGGAGCCCGGTTTTGCATGTGGCCCGCCACTTCCCAAATCCGTCTCGCTGCCCGCAGGCATCCGGTGCAAGTCATCAAAGTCCTCATACGACAGGCACACCTGCGCTGGAGGTGTTTATGTTATTTTTCCTACCCAACTCCCAAGAACACCAACACACACACTAGATGTCTCTTTGAACATTTGTTCGAGGTGTAAGCTTTTGCATGTTGTTTCGCCTTGGCTGGGGGCAGGCAGCAAATTCCATTGCTGCAAGCTGCACGACATTTGGTTCTCGGCAGGTGAGCCCGGACATGCTGGTGGACAAGGAGCCGCGAGAGTGCGCGAACAACTTGGGTCCCCATTTGACATGTTTATTAGGAGGTTTCGGGGGTTCCCTTTAAAATTGGCAGCCAAATAGGGGTTCCCGCTTTTTCCAGTCTGCGCGATTGCCAGGAGATATTTGCCGGAATTCCAGAAGATCGGTGGCAGGCCCTCCGGCCGGGTGCACATTCCTGGTTTTCTGGCAGTGGTGAGTGGCCCTCAAGATCCAGCAATGGATGGCCTTTTTGGATTGCTATGTGGGGCAAATGTAGGCAACCACAAGGTATCATATCGGGGACTTGCCCCCTGTATATACGGACTCCCCTGCAAAACACCTTTGGCCTGGCAGTCAAGCATCCTGCAAGTGTGCTCTTTGTGTGGGCATGAGCTCGGGGCACCATCGTGATTTCTTCAAGATGTTGTAAGGTTGAGACTCAGCCGGACACTGACCATCGTGCAGCGCCCTAATCACGCTTTGCAAGGTCGAATGGATTCATGCTCGAATGTCTCCAATGGCCTGACTGACCAGAAATTCAGAAACGAGCTTTCAACTTGCTGAAGAATCTTAGTGTCTTTTGCTTGGAGGCCAAAACCAAGAATGTTTGACCTTTGGAATCCACGGGCCCAGGGGTCTTGAACCAGGTCGGCCGTTGGGTCTGGGTCCGCCACAAGGAAAACTAAACAGTGAAGCCTCAAGTAGACCAAGGGGGGCACCCAACCGGAAATGTGAAGTGAAAAAGCCGCGGAACCAAATGGTGCACCTCACAAGGTGGCTTGGAGGATCTTGGGAATTGTTGGCGCCCTTTCGCGTCGACCCATCATTGACATGATGGCAACTTTGACACCCGCCCCAAAAAAAGACTACCAGGCATGCACAAACAAAGCAGTAGTTGATTTGCGGGAGCTGATCACTGATGCAACGCAGGTTTTGGCACCGCCCTGGGAAACTTGACCCCCAGTCGGGGCTGCGCACAAAAGGCAACAACCCCATTCATGTTGTCAAAGCCGACCTTTTCGGTTGTTGCTTCCCCTCAGGTTGGTCTATAGTCAAAGATCCAAAAGGTTGACCTCTTTGTTCCAGATTGGTTGGGCCCCGAAGGCAGAACCAACTTGGCCTTGCGCGGGATCCCTCGCCGGCCGCCAGGTGTTTTCGGACCCTGCGGAGGCTGGTCTTCCAGATGAGCTGCGAGATCTCGCCTCAGTGTCGGCGCCTCAACCGTCGCTACTCTCCGTCGCTTTGTCGCCATGCCCCCAAAAACCCTCCGAGCCTAGCTTCGGGGACTCACGATCCAACCCACGTCCGGGTTCCACGTCCCGAAAAAGTCGCCCACTATATGAGTCGAGTGCCCTGGGGTCGTCGTTTCAAGATCACTTGTAGGTCTGTTTCGCCGAAAGCCGCGTTTTCCTGCTGAGACAGCTCGGTCCTTGTGAATCGATGCAATAGTAGTTGTTCATGATTGCCGGCATAGTCCAGACGTCACTCCTACTTGGTTGAACGTTAAAGCCGCGTTCAAACGGTATACAACCAACTTGTCCTATCCTTTCCAACCGGCGACTTGTCATGTTACGATGTGCAAAGCATTAGTTGCAGTATCTAATCGCAAAATGCACCATAAAGATTCAAGAGGCTGGTGTTTTTGTGAGTTTTGCTCGAAACTGGGAGCTGAGCGATTGCCCGCCACTTGAGGCCGGGATTCTTGAGCTTCGCAGCAAGCCTTGGATCCAAAGCGGGGACCGCCCAGCGCAGTGAAAGCGACATCAGGCAAATGGCTTTAACTCCATGGCCCCCTTGAACAGGAACCTATTTGTTCAACGATGTTCGAACTGTTGGAACAGGTGGTTCGCCCAGCCGTGCCTTGCCTAGCAAGGGTGGGCTGGCATAGCAACAGGTAAATGTAGGTAGCTCCACTTAGGTATGTCTGCTTGGGGGACTCAAAAAGGGTGTCTAACGAAGGCTTCCTTTGCCAGCCCGCGGCCTCTGAGCATTTGCAAAACCATGCCCCCCCCCCTCCCCCTGCTTTGCGTTCTGGGCGTTTATCCAAAAGTGCTGGTTGGCGGAGGGTTGGGCCAACATCCTCCGGTTTCAACATGTCCTATGTTCGGAGCAAATCCACCCATCTGGATGATCATAGGACGGCAGTGCCTGTGTAGTCCCTCATTCATAGTAGCCATTCGCAACGCAACGCATCAGGCCATCAAAGGTGCGGCTGCCGGTCTGGAGGAGAGATGTCGGAAAGCTGAATGAAGCTTAGGTGCTGTGCCAGGTGTCGTCTAAATAGTTACTTCAGTGTAGTGTTCTATATATATATATATATATTGTTCATTGCACACATTGGTAGAACTTACGTGTGTGTGTGTGTGTTGCGTGTTGTTTCATTTTGCTGGGTTGGCTTTGTTATTCGCAGTTTGGATTTTGTTCCTGCTTTTGTTGTTGTGCTGTCTAAGTCATTTCAAATGTTGTTCTTTGGGTTGTGTGGATGTGTTTTCTTTTTGTCAGGGTCGTCAGGTAACCCCGAGTTGCAGGTTTGGCTATGGTTGGCTTGGTGGTTTGGGGGGTTGAACAGCTCTTGAAGAGGATAAATCAGAAGCTGCCCCCCAATCAAGCCAAACCGCCAAGTAGAGGGAAGCTGCTCGGGGGAGGGCGGTTTGATGAGATGCGCCTTTCTAGGATACGCCGGTGGCTGCCAACTCCTGACATCGCCCAGCGGTTTTCCAGCCATTCTCGGAAAACGGTTCCATTTTCGCTGCTTTAAATTTCCATAAACTCCATGCAATTTATGTTCACCAGTTTCAGTACTTCAATTCTTGCCCAAAATGATCTTCCGCTCTTTGGAGCACGTGTCCTTTTTGGGTTGGGTTGAAAGGGAAACCAGACCGTTCTGGGGCTCCCCTAGTTTGAGAGACACCCTAACATGAGCCCGAACCCATTCCTGGGCGACCCAACCCAGTCTTGGATTCAACATGTTTTGCTATGTGCATCCAAAGATGGGGCTGTGCCTCAGGCAGACCAAAGTGTCTCACACCCGCGGAAAGGGACGATACTCGCTCTGTGACTACGGCGAGCGGAGGGTGGAGTTGGGTGTCCGGCGTCTTTTTGTTTTCCCTTGAAGGCAACCTGAAAGATGCGTTTTGGGAACATCAGAGATACAGGAATTCATGTCCACTAACCAGTCGTGAGGGGGTTCGCGTCACAATTCATGGCCAAAGGGGCATGTTTCTTCCGCACAAGAGCGGGCTTGATTTTCGTAGGCTCTTTGACAGCTGTAGTTTGGCTGGGGAGAGAAATGCTCCCGACTTGCGGCCAGGGCAGGTCTTTGAGCCTTGCAAGCGGCGTTCGCTTTCGCTTGAGATTCGAAAAGGACCGATTATCGCATGAAGTTTGAGGCTTTGAGTAATTGAGTAATCTAACCAGGTGGGCTTCAAGTCAAACATTTGGATTCAACAATGAAGGTTTCTTGCTTCGCCTGTCCGAGCACTTGACGTTGTGATGGTGACTCATGTTCCCAAATCCGTGAAGCGATAGCCTGCAACGGCAACCTGGGTTGTCCCAGAAACCATCCAGCTGAAAAAACTATGGGCAACACTCAAGACAACCTCAAGCGTTGACCATTCGCCCCGCAGGTGCTGCGCTTGCGCGCCGCGCAGAACCTATGCCAACCAGCAAGTGTCAGAGGCAGCGTTTGGAGTCAGCAAGCACAGCGAGTCACACACACACATTGGTGTAGTTTTGTGTTGCCAGTTCGCACGGTTTAGGACCCAACCTGCTTCACCATATGTCACCCCACCACCACAACGCTGTCAACATCGACCCTCCGAAAGCTGCGCCTTTGGCGTACGTGGGCGTGCGTGCCTGCGTGTCTCCGTGCGTGTGTGCGTGTGCATGCATGCGTGCGTGCGTGTGCGTGGGTATGAGTGCGTGTGCGTGTGCGTGGGTATGAGTGCCTGCGTGCCTGCTTGCCTGCGTGCCTGCGTAGGTGTGTAGGTGTGTAGGTGTGTGTGTGTGTGTCTTTGCGCGTGCGTGTGCATGTGCGTTTTGCGTGTTGCGCATTGCCTGTTGCCTGTGCCTGTGTGTGTGTGTGTGTGTGAGTGTGTGAGTGCGCGTGTGTGTGTGTGTGTGTGTGTGTGTGTGTGTGTGTGTGTGTGTGTGTGTGTGTGTGTGTGCGTGCGTGCGTGCGTGCGTGCGTGCGTGCGTGCGTGCGTGCGTGCGTGGGT